TGGACCGTCTCCTCCGATAAAGATTTACAGCTTTAGAAATCTGTTGGACTATCACCAAAAAGCAGAATAGATTTAATGGCAGTGGGTTGTGTGTTTTGTTGGGTTTTGCTGTGGTAGTGGTGGTGGTTGAGCTAGAAAAGGGCCCCCAAAGAGCGATGCAACTTTCCTTCTCCTCCATGAAACTTCTGTTCATTATCACAGAAAACAGGTCGGAGACACCAATAACAGTAATTTAGAAGGACAGAAGGACTTTAGGGATAAATGAATCCCTTTGCAAAGTTTATTAGAATCTTTGTAAGTTTTCCTAATCATTAGCTCTTTCCTGCTTCTGGTAGGAGTGGACCGGAAGGGAGAAAATATTGACAATGATTGATCTATAATTTCACTGTGGTTCCACATGTTGTGGTTGACCTCAAGATTTGGCTAGTCTGAGTTTAAAATACACACTGGATTTTGAAGATATAATACCACAATAAAAAGTGAAATACATCAGTAATTTTATATGGATTACATGTTCAATTCATATTTTACATGTTGTTGTTGTTATGTGCTGTCGAGTTGCCTGTGACTCATAGCGACCCTATATATAATAGCTCTGAAGGCTGCCCTGTCCTGAGCCAGTCTCACTGACTCTGACACACCTACCCCCATTGTCCTAGTTACTGTATCAGTCCATCTCATGCAGATCTTCCTCTCTTGTGCTGTCCTTCTACCCTTCCAAGCATGATGTCCTTCTCTAGGGATTGGTCTCTCCTGGCCACGTGCCCAAAGTATGTGAGACGGAGCTTCAAAACCTAGCCTCAAAGGAGAAACTTGGTTTCACCCTCTCCAAGACAGACCTATTTGTTTTCTTAGTGGTCCATGGTATGTTCAAGACTCTTCTGTCATTTCTAGTCATTGTCTAGCTCTCAGATGCATAGCAAGTAATTGCAAAGATCATGGCCTGGATCAGGCACACCTTAGTATCTAAACTGACCTCATTGCTTCTCAATACTCTGGAAAGTTCCCTGACAGCACATTTACCTAATTACCTAATTCCTTTTTTATTTCCTTGACTTCTGGTGCCAAGAGTGTTGATTGTGGAGCCGAGCAAGCTGTAACTGTTAACAACCTCAATCTCTTCTCCATCATTGGATTAAATAAAATATTCATTAAAAATAATTTCACCTGTTTTTAACCCTTTTAAAAGTGGCAACTAGAAAATTTAGAGTTACCTGTTGGTAGGAAAGGAAGAGTATTGTTACACGGTGGGTATTGTAATTAATGACATAAAACACTTTTTTTTGTTGTTTTATGAATTGTTGAATTGAAAACTAGCTTATTCTGTAAACTTCCAACAACAACAAAAAGTTAAAAGCAGGTAAATCATGTTACCTGTTGACTTGAATTTGTGGCTGCTATCGTACATCTTTTCTGCGGTGCTTAACCCCATTGTTGTGCCCACTGTGTCCGTCTTGTTGAGGGTCTGTCTTTGTTTTGCTAACTCTCTACTTTTCCAAGCAGGATAGCCTTTTCCAGGAACCAGTTTCTCTTGATAACGTTCTTGAAGTATATGTGAAATGAAATCTCACCATCCTTGCGTCTTTTTAAAAACTTTTGTTTTATTATTTTGTGAGTGTACCGTTAAATTGGATCTGACTGGTACAGAAAGAGATTGCCCCTCTTTCTCCAGCAGAGCATCTGGTGGATTTGAACCACGTACCCCTGGGATTGCAGTGCAGCTTCTTGCCACTAGGCCAGCAGAGCTCCCTGCATCTTTTTTTTTAAATAATGTTTTATTTTATATTGGTTTACTTGCAAAGTTCATACGCATTGTGTTTCACATGATCCTTTATTCGCATTGTGTTTCATACAATCATTCCCATTTACTGTATTTTATAAAACTAATCAACATTGAACTGTTGTTGTGTACCGTCGAGTCATACCTGACCCATAGCTGACCCTCCAGTGGGTTTTCAGAGGCAGTAATCACAGGGGAGGAGATTGCTCATCCTTCTCCCACAGAACAACTGGTAGTTTTGAACTGTGTGCCTTTGAGATTGCAGTGCAGCTTCTCTCCACTAGGCAGCCAGAGATGCCCACCATTACCCTGTTTTTTTCCAGATCCCCATCCTTCCCTCTGCCCATCAAATTGTGTGGCCCTATGATCTCCCCCCTGCCCATCCTCAACCCTCTACTCCTTCCCTCTCTCCCTTGGAGCCTCATACACATTTTACTATTTATCTTTCTAGTTCTACAATAATGATCTTATACAGTATTTGTCCTTAAAGGATGGAGTTAGTTCACTCAGCATAATGCTCTTCAGTCCCTCCTAAGATATGTAGTAATTTTCTAAACCATTGCTTCTGAGTGCTGCGTAGTATTCCATTACATGAATGTACTGCAGTTTCTCAATCCATTCAGTTATGATTGAACATTTGAGCTGTTTCGGTGTTTTTGCAATTCACCATCCTTGCTTCTAAGGAACACTTTGGCTATATTTCTTTGAAGGCAGATTTATTTGTTGTTTTGGTAGTCCATTATGTATTTCATATTCTTCACCAGCACCACAATTCAAAAGCATCAACTCTTCTCCAGTCTTCCTTGTTTATGGTCCAGCTTTCACATGTGTGAAGTGATTAAAAATACCATAGCTTGGAGCAAGTACACTTCAGTCTTAAAAGTGACATTCTTACTCATTAGCACTTTGAAGACATCTTTGGCAGAGATTTGCCTGTTTTTCTATACTGCTTGATTTCATGAATGTGGTTTTCATGGGTAGAGTCAAGTAAAAAGAGATCCTTGATAACTTTGTTATTAGGTGCCATCAAGTTGAGTATGACTCACAGCAAATCTATGAACAACCGATTTCTGATCTCAACCTTGTTCTATCCTGTGCCATCCTTAAAATCTCTGACACACATGAGCCCATTGCTGCAATTACCATGACAGCCCACCTGGTTGAGAGTCATCCTCTCCATTGCCACCCCTCTGCCATCGCAAGTATGATGTCCTTTTTCAGGAATAACCTCTCCTAGCAATGTGCCCAAAATATGTGAGATGATGCCTTAGCATCCTTGCCTCCAAGTATTCTGGCTGCATCTTCTCCAAGACATAACTCTTTGTTCTTTTGACAGTTCATAGGATATTCAATACTCTTCTCCAGCACCACAGCTCAAAGGCATCAACTCTTCTTTTGTCATACTTAGTCACTGGCCAGCTCTCAGATGCCTAGCACGTGACTGAAAAAAGCATGGCCAAAAATCAGAAGGTGCACCTTAGTCTTCAAACTGACATCATTACTCCTCAGTAGTTTGGAGAGTTCCCTATCTACAGATTTTCCCAGTGCAATACATTTCCTGATTTCTTGACTTTAGTTATCAAATATATTGACGATAGATCCGAGTAAGATGAAGTGTTGGCAGTCTCAATCCTTTCTCCTTCCATCATGATATTGCCTATTGGTCCAGTGGCAAGGATTTTTGTTTTCTTGATGTTGAGATGCAATCCTTATTGAAGACTACAGTGTTTAACCTTCTGCAGCAAGCGCTTCAAGTCCTCCTCATTTTCAGTACTTCATAGACTTCAGCTCTTCTCCATTTATCATGATGTTTACTCGTCCAATTGCGAGCTTTTTTGTTTTATTTATGTTGAACTATTACACATACTGAACGCTACAGACTTTGCACTTGAATAAGTGCTTCAAGTCTACCTCATTTTCAGTAAGAAAGTCCAGATCATCTGTATAACACAAATTATTGATGAGTTTTCTTCCAATCCTGATGCAGTGTTCTTCAAATATTCCAGCTTCAGAGATTGTTTTCTCAGGATGCAGACTATATAAATGTTGATGATGCACATCTTTCCTAATTTAAAGCCATGCCGTATCCTCTTGTTCTGTTTAAATAACTGCTTCTTGGTTTAGGTAGAGATTCTGCATGAGTACAATTAAGTGTTTTGGAACTTTCATTCTTCTCAGTGTTATTCATAATTTATTATGATCTATACAGTCAGATGCCTTTGTGTTATCAATAAAAAACCAAGAAAATATCTTTTCTATATTCCTTGTTGTTATGTCTTTATGTGCCATCGACTTGGGACTTATTCATTCCTGAACCTTCAGCAGGTTTTCAGAGGCAATAAATCACACGGGAGATTGCCCATCTTCTTCTCTTGGAACATGTATGGATCCAGGCCATGTGCCTTTGAGTTGGCTGTGTGGCTGTTTACCATTAGGTTACTGGGACGTCCTAAGCCAAAAGTTACTAAACATAGGTGGAGCCATCCTAAAATTCCTGTCTAGCACTTTGTTCCTTATCTAAACCAATTAGGAGTGGTGTTGGTGCTGGGGTTGGAATAGACTACCTGTAGAGTCTTGACTCTATTCCCTTTTAATTGTATGATTTAGTTAGACAAAGTTTATGACTTCCCTGCACCTCCTTGGACTCATACCTAAAATGAGGATAATAATAACATCTACTTCTGACTTTGTGTGAGAATTAAATGAATTAATACCAACCTTCTTAGATCTGCATTTTGGTGCATAGATAGTAAAAAGTCAATACAAATTTGCTAGGGGTATTCGTAGGTTTTTGTCTTATATTTCCCAAAAATGTGGTCACATTCTCAATTCTTTTTTAAAGTCTGTAGCTTTTTAACTCAATAATACTAGAACATCATTTTTTATTCTTATATAACGTAATTTTTTTAATCACATAGTATTTTTTATAGCCCTTCTAATGTAATTATCAAATTGATTTCCTGCTGTAAAGTCTTTTGTTTGCTGCTTTCTTCTTATTTTGTTTGTTTTCAGTTTGTGAGCAATATTGTAGTAAACATCGATGCAGAAAAATCTTTGCCCACATCCTTGAGTGGACAAATTACAGCAGGAAAAATGAATGGTGGAATTAAAGGAAGATGAAATAATTTTACTTGAATTCATTTCTGGGCTGATATATCAGGTTTGCATTCCTTTTCAGAAGCCAGCAAACTCTGACTACCCTGTTTTCTTATTGTTTCAGCTGCTGTCAGGAACCATTGGCAGGAAAGTAACACTGAACCACACTTAGAAAACGTCACCTCTTATCAAGGTCAAGTAAACTTTTCCACAGTGATATCAAAAGAGCCTGTGATGGGTCAGGTCCCCAGAACAAGCCACTTTTCTTCAGATGCTCCAGTAGACTTCACTTCACTGACTGAAGCAGCAAATGCTGGAGGAAGATCCAACTCTCAAAGCAGAACAGATTTCACCAGTTCGCCTGTTGCGGGCTCACCTGAGATAGCAACAGCTCTGGATTATCAGAATAATACCTCAGGTGAGTTTGTGTTGATGACAATGATTTCATTCTTACATGCCCAATTACGGAAAAGAAAATTTTCACCTCTGCTCCCCCTCCTCCCTGCATCATTGGGAGCTATCTTCCCCACTGAGGAGGCCTGGCCAAGGTTGACCAGATCTGTGGTGCAGGCCTCATTTGCAACATGCTGGTGTATGTCGTGTTACCTTTTGCACTGCTTGCTAAAAGCTCGGTGGTTTGCATCTCCCAGCTGCTCTGCAGAAGAAGGCTGAGGCTGGCAGTCTCCTGACACCAAGATTTACAGCTTTGGAAATGTGATGGTCGCCATGAGTCAAAATCAACTTAACAGCAGTGGGTGGGTAGTTAACGAAAGTGTAAATGCAGGCCAAGTGGAGGTGCAGATTTGATCTAACATGTTACAGAGCTGAGATTTGAGCCCAAGTCTGTGTATCTGAGCCAAGTGGGAGGGGTACCTAAGGAGTGGGATGTCCCAACAGTGTAGATGAAGCTGTGGAGAAAGGAGTGTGGCTTCTCTGTGGGGCAGCAAGGCCAGCACGCTCCCTGGGCTGGTATTAGTTGCACAGTGAGGAGAAGAGCAGTGGCAGATGCAATTATGTGAAGGGAGTAAGGCACCATCATGGCTAACTTTGGAAATCAGGCTGTTTCAATTTGAGGGACAGGAAGAGTTTTGGGTTTTTTTTTTAAACAAGGTGACATATCAAAGCAATTTAGGGGAGAATTTGCTTGGCAGTCATTAATAGGGTATTTAGAACTGTGAGTGTGGGGAGAGGAGGGAATCTTCAGTCAGGACCACCCAAGAAGATAAAGAAATTCACACACAGATCCCAGGGACCGAGCTATGATTTAGTAGCAGCAAGAATGGAGAGGAAGTTGTTGGTCACAGAGAAGTTTACAAGGGGAAATTGATGGACTTGGTAATAGTAGAGGGAAAAGGTGTCACAAAGGACACTGGGATTCACAGACCAGTGACAGGAGGCCTGGTTGGGGACTCGGTTCTGTAATGAAAGCATGTGGAAGTATTTTGTGCTCCATCCGTGAACAGTGGATCCAGAGCTGCCTCTGCATGGATGCTGCCTATCGTATTGGCCATACAGAGTCTGATAGTGGGAGTTTGTTTATGTTCATCCCAAGCAAATTCTGGAACCAACTTCCTAGAAGTTGGTGATGCGCCATATGATCAGAATCTGATCTCAGATTCTGTATCATCTGATATTGTTGTTGTTGGTTGCCATCAAGGCGGTCCTTCTTGGCGACCTTAGTGTCCAAAGTAGAACTGTGAGCCATCAGGTTGTCCAAGGTTTTGGGGAGCAAGTCATCAAGCCTGTCTTCTGAGAAGCCTCTTGGTAGGTTGGAACTGCCAACCTTTTGGCTAATAGTCAAGCGCTTAACTCTTTGTGCTACTCAAGGACTACTTACATCAGCTGACATTTCAGATGTATCCTTTATCAGAAAATTTTACTATAAAATGCAAAATCTGCACTTATGGGACCCAGAGAAAGGGTTTATCTTGGTGTGTGCCCTGCCATTCAGAAGTTACTATTTTATAGAATGAATAATTGCTCTTAATTTCCTTCCATGTCAACAAATTGGGTAGAGGTTGGAAGTGAGCTGGCTGAAGGACTGTTAGAATGTTGGGAAGTCTGCTGGCGGACCATTAATTGTTGCCATCTGGTTTCAGCCGTGGGAGACCTTGGCTTCTCATCCAGCAGTAGCAGTTCAGAATCTGAAGAAAAGATGGCTGTTTCTCAAACAGAAAGGGGAGTGCCCCCGGGCTCACTGGACAGGGGACGGGGGCTCCCAGAAGAAGCAACTGTACATTCCCAAGCAGCTGCCACTTCTGCTCTGAGCCAGTCCTCTCCTTCTGCTTTGGAGAGGATCGAACAGACCACGTCCTCTAGGAAGAGAAACTCCTCGAGACCAGAAGTCTCCCCACCACGTGTCTCCAGTACTCCAGTGTCCACCTCACCCTCCACCCATTTTTCAGGTGAACTCTCTCACCCCCAGATAAATGCTCTGAAATAAAGACAGGGGTACAGCTAGCTAACTTCCTGTTCCTGACAGGGGCTAAGGAGGAAAGACATTATACAGAATTGTTATACTCTAATGCAAAAATATTTGGGCTCAAAGAACCACCTACAGTTTCTCCTAGTGGTAAAGTTCACCTTAAAAATATTTTTTTCCTTAACCAAATTGTTGTTCTTATGAACCATTGAGTCATAACCAACTCATATGTGACCCTCCAGTGGGTTTTCAGAGGCATTAAATCACACAGGAAGAGATTGTCCATCTTTCTCCCGTGGAGCAACTGGTAGATTTGAACTGTATGCCTTTGGATTGGTAGCACAACTACTTAGCACTAAGCCACCAGTGCTCTCTTTAGTTACATTAGGAAGAAAATAATAATTCGAAAAAAAAAATAATAATTAGGAAGAAAATAATAATAATAATAATAATAATATAATAATTTCTGATCCTTTCTGCACCCACCCCCACATACACCCTCATATACACAAAACAAAGGCTGGTTGTGATTGGGGTGCACTCATGGGAAGGAGTGCCTGAATGGTGAAAATTGTTAACATGCAGAGCAGCTAACAAAAAGGCCAGTTTATGTCCACCCTGTTGTACCAAAAAAGAAAGGCCCGAATGAATGATGTTGTTTTTTTATGTGCTGCTGCATCACCTGCGACTCATAGCAACCCTATGTACAACAGCCCTAAGCCCTGCTCCATCCTGTTCAAATCTTACTGTCTCTGACACACCTACCCCCCAGTCACTGAATGAATACATCTCATTGAGGATCTTCCTCTCTTACACTGTCCCTCCACCCTTCCAAGCATGATGTCCCTCTCTAAGGACCAGTCTCTCCTTGCAGCATGCCCACAGTATGTCACATGAAGCCTCAGAATCCTTGTCTCCAAGGAGTAGCCTGGACTAACCCTCTCTGGGATGAACCTGCTTGTTTTCCTAGCAGTCCATGGTATAGTCAATACTCTTCTCTAGCATCACAGCTCAAAGGCATCAATTCTCCTTCTATCATCCCTAGTCATTGTTCAGCTTTATGATGCATAGTAAGTAATTGCAAAGACTATGGCTGGATCAGGCACACCTTAGTCTCCAGTACTTTAAAGAGGTCTATGAAAGCAGACTTTCCCAATGCAGTTTGTCTTTTAATATAAAAATATGAATTTTTTTAAAGGCCTGATGATCTACTTCTAAAAAAAAATCAGTCACTGAAAACTCCCACATCACATACTTGTCCTCTGACATCCTGGGTATCACCATAAGTCACAATCTACTCAGTGATGTTTGGTTTTATTCTTAAAGAAGAGACTGAAATAGTAACATTGCATCATTTGATTTGAGGGTTGTTGAAAGAGGAAGACCCTCAACCAGATGGATTCAGTGACTGCAGCAATGAGCTCAAGTGTGTCAGAGATGGTGAGGACGGCACAGGACAGGACAGGGTTCAGGTCTGTGGTTCATAGAGACTCGGTGGGTCATACTTGATTTAATAGCACCTAATAACAACAATAGCATCTTTTGATTAGGACTTAGATATTTAATTTCTTCTTCATTATTACAAGAATGTTTCCTTCAATTGTAAAGAAAATGTGACTATGTATTTTTGAGGGGAAAATTCCCCACTCATTGCAGATCTTTGCAGGGCATAATGGTAACTGCAGCTGTGCTCTACTCTTCTTCCTCTGCTAGTCAACTTTCTGCCCATCTCTCTGAGGTCTTTTTCAGTGGAGGTGTACCATTTCCAGGGAATTTCTCTTCAGCCTTCCTGGTCCTTCCTGATTTACAGACTGTACTTTACACCTTACAGTACTGGGTTACCTAGTGCCTTATGTGCCCATGTAGATTGTAATCCTCTCAAGGACACAGATGAGGTCTCTTCTCTCTCTTCCATTCACCACCGTCTCAGCACAAGGCACAGTAGATATATGATGGGGATTTGGGTTTGTTCACTGGACAAGTGCAGCCTGGTGCTGAGGAGGATGCTGGGACAGTCTGCCTTTCCTCCTCTCTGAGGTCTTATTCAGAGCCTGCTTATGCTGTTGTTTATTTCTTTCCTGTGTTTAGGGAGAAGACAGGGAGGGCTGGAAATATTACTGGGGAATAGAGGTGAGAGTGTTTCAGAGATTTCCATTTCCAAATTTCTATATAGGTCAGAGGTTTTCAGAAGTACTTTGCAAAGCCAAGCATTTGAGTTTTATGTCATCAAAGCAAAAACTGAACCCAGAGGTCCTTTCTATAAAGCCTATTTTTAAATTTGCCAATTCCTCTTCTATAGACTCCGTATGCAGTTTCCTGCTGGTTGGATGTGGAGGTAATTTATGATTCATATTTTAGGAGATTGCTTTTTAAGATTATTTATAAACATTGGTTGGATTAGATAAAAGTTATGATCCTTTCCGACTCCAAATTTCTGTGGTTCTGTGATTTACAACCAACTTTACAAAATAGTAGGAAGGAAGCATTTTCTAGGCAGTTACACCTTGATTCTGGTCAGGGTCATTTAATATTTATATTTTAGTTCCACCCGCTAGCATGTTACATTTCACAAATCAGCTTTTATTTCAGCTTTCTTGGATTTTGCTATAATGTTGTTCAGTGCCGTCAAGTCAAGTAAGACTCATAGTGATCATATGAACGATAAGCCAGAACGTTGCCCTGTCCTGCACCATCAAAACAATCTCCGTCACCCACAAGTCCAGTTTTGCAGTTACTGTATTCATCTGTCTTGTTGAGAGTCGTCTTTTTCTCTGACCCACCACCTTTCCCAGCATGATGTCTTCTTCCAAGGACCTCCTGGCAATATGCCCAAAGTATGTGAGATGAAGTTTCACCATCCTTGCCTCTAAGGAGCACTCTGGCTCCCACTTCCTGCAAGATACATGTATTTGATTTTTTGACAGTCTATGGGATATTTAATACTTTTCACCAACACCACAATTGAAAGCCATCAGTTCTTAGATCCTCTTTATTCATTGTCCAGCTTGAAACAATTGAAAAATACCATGATTTGGGTCAGGGCCCCTTGTTGTTGTTAAGTGCTATCACCTGTGACTCATAGCGACCCTGTGTATAACAGCTCTGAAGCCTGCCCTATCCTGAGCCAGTCTTGGAGCCTAACCCCATTACCTCAATTACATGTCAATCTCATCCAGGTTTTTCCTCTCCTGTGCTGTCCCTCCACACTTTGGAGCATGATGTCCTTCTCCAAGGATTGGTCTCTCCTGGCCATGTGCCCAAAGTATGTGAGACGGAGCTCCAAAATCCTAGTCTCCAAGGAGAAATTTGGTTTCACCCTTTCCAAGACCTGTTTGTTCTTCTAGCAGTCCATGGTATGTTCAAGACTCTTCTCCAGCACCACAACTCAAAGGCATCAATTCTTCTGTCATCCTTAGTCATTGTCCAGCTCTCCGATGCATAGCAAGTACTTGTGAAGACTATGGACACACTTTAGTCTCTAGATTGACATCGTTGCTTCTCAGGAACAGCATATTTTTCCAGTACAAGTTGTCTTTTTTTTCCTGACTGCTCGTGCCACGAGTGTTGCTTGTGGAGCCGAGCAAGCGGAAATTGCTAACAACCTCAATCTCTTCTCCGTCCATCATGGTGCTGCCAATAGGCCCAGTGGTGAATATATTTGAGTCCTCTTAAAGTTGGAAACTGAAGCCACATTAAAGTTTTGCTTTCTTGAGCTGCGTTAGCAACTTACTAGTTTCCTAAACAGACCTTTGGTGGTAGTGGTGGTTATCAGGTAGTGTCCAATACAATTCATAATGACCCTGTGAACAACAGGTCTGAAGATGATGAACAGTGATTACTGAAAAGCAGTGAGGTCAGTTTGGAGACTAACGTGCGCCTGATTCAGGTCATAGTCTTTTTGATCATTTGCTGTGCATCTGAAAGCTGGACAGTAATTAAGGCTAACAGAAGAAGAATTGATGTCTTCAAGCTGTGGAGTTGGAGAAGAGCACTGAACAACTGCCAAAAGTTTTGGAGAGGCTGCAGCCAGAGTGCTTCTTGGAGGCAAGGATGGCAAAGCTTCATCTCATACTTTGGGCATGTTGCTAGGAGAGACTATTCCTTGGAGAGGGACATCATGCTTGGAAAGGTGAGGGTCAGTGTAAATGAGGAGTTCCCTAAAACCAAACCAGTTGCTATCAAGTCAGTTCTGATCCTCCTGACACCCCCATGTTTGTCAGAGGAGGACCCAGGGCTTTCAGGGAAAGAGGTCTTTTTGTTGTAGATCACTAAGCCTTTCTTCTGAAGTGATTCTGGGTGGGTTCGAAACACCTCCATTTCAGTTAATAACTGAGAGCTTCATCATTTGCACCAGCCAGGGACTCCTGGTGTACCCCCTTCCTCCTCTTAGATTAAATCTCAAAATACTGTTTTGACATAGGAACTCTAGGCATGTGGGCAAGAATGCTGAGTGAGGGCTGGTGGGATTTGCCAAAGGCACACTCGACCCAGCCTGCCAGCTCCACGGAAGTATGGAAGAGGGGAGAATGCAGGGTAGACTTAGGTCATTTGACCCTTGCTCACTCCATCTATGAAAAATGTGACCCCGTGAGGTCCTGTGTCTAGGCTTCTCAGATTAATGATGCTCCTCATTTGCTGAGAGCTAGAATGAACCAGAAGCCTGGCATAGGGATAAAATCAAGCTTTGCTGTTTGCAGTCTGAGGAGATTAGACCAGATGATCTTTAAACCCTTTAAGGTTTAGCATCAGTTATTCCAGATGCATTCAGCCTTTGTGTTTTATGCTTTCTTTTGCCCCATACTTTGTTGAGCAGAAATGTCCTGCACCATCTCCCCTGAGGCTGGGAGGGCCAGGAGTTACCTGCTTCCAGAAATGTATGGTATTTTGTTTACTTGACCTGAAAAAGCACATGCAGAATCAAGCAACTCGAGCAGATTGATTAAAGGGATCAGAAGCCATTGGAATGTTTTCTTTCTGGCTTTTTCATTTCTATACTTTCCATGTTTCTTTCATGAACATGTATTGTTTGGTCCTTTGGGCCAGGGAGGAGTCGGGGAGTAATGTAGCAAATAAACAGGGGAGGAAAGCTCTCTTTTGAAGGTGGAGAGAGATATATGCACATTGAATTGTGTGAGAATGGTACAATTGGGCTCTAAATTTAGTACTGAGCTTCCTGGAAACCAGAGCACAAAGGGAAGCTGAATGGAGTGTACGATTGTTGTCAGATAAAATGAGTATATGGCTTTCTCCATAGTTATAAGTGCTTTGTGAGCAGTAAATCCTTAAAGAATGTTTATGTAAGGAACATTGAAGATCATGATGGAAAATTCCTTCTTTTTTTTTTCTGGGGGTTGAGGGAGAAGTGTGCTAATGTTCTATAAAAGGGGATGACTTCTATAGATCTTCAAAAGGAGCTGAGGGCGTGATAATGGACTTTAACTCACGAAAGAATTTCTGTGGGTTGCTGAGTGAATGTGGTCCAGGTAAATTGCTCTGCGGTGATTTCACTCTGTAAAGGGCAAAACCCCAGAAGGCTGTTGATCTGACTTGCATTTTAAAAATATCAGCTGTCTCAACTATCGTTTTGGCAAGTTCTGGATGGCAGTCGAGTCAAGGTTGAGCATTCTGATGGCTGCATGAGGACTCCTGTGTTGGGTGTTGTGCTTGAAAAGTGACCGCGTATTTTTTACCAGATAAAGTAGACATGCTTTCTACCTGGCTTGTCTCTACTCCTAAATAGATCATATGTTTTTCTTTGGTTCCACTTACTGGCTCGTTCAAGGGTAGAAATAAACACAAAAGAACAATTATGAGTTAATCAACAGTGTTGGCCTCTTAATTAGAAACATGGCACATTTCCACTTTGGGTTATGGGCTGGCATTCGTTAACTAGTGTAAGTGATGATATGAGATGAATTGGACCATTTACTCCTTTTACTAACAGGAGCCAACCCTACTAA